CAAGTACTTGGATCATGAGTGTATGCCACCACACCCAGCTGCCTAGTGTGACCCTGGCTCTGGATGTATCTCTTCACTCCCCTCAGGGGCACCCCCAGGGCTCTGGTTTCTGACAGGGTCACCTCCACCCTTTAGAAAGTCTGGCAGGACACACAGGCTGATACTGCAGCCCTCATGGAGCTGCCAGAGAGAGGACACCAGTGGCTCACACACTCAGGGGCCACGGTGGCCTCTGCCGGGTCTGATGACACTGACTCCCAGGACCTGTGCAGAGCAGGGTGGGGGGCAAGGTGACCTCCCCGCCACCTGTTTCTCTGTTTGCAGAACCCACGGGAGCAGCTGAGTCACCTGTGACACAGAGGTTTGGGGCGATGCCTTTACCAGAAGTCACTCCCACAGGGCTGTCTCACGGTTGTGGGTCCCTAAATCCAGCACAGCTGTTGCCTGCAGAAGGACAGATGGGACACTGCTCCTCCAGCAGCTGCCAGTACCTCCCCACCTTCTGTGGCCTGTGGGGCCACAGCCCGGGCTCTGGGGTCCTTCGAGTGCGCCACTTTCTCTACAAGGGGCTCGCCCAGCCAGGCGCACAGGGTGCTGCAACCTGCCCCACAGCAGTGCACAGGGAAGGCTTCCCAAGACGTGGGGCTTGCACTCCACACTGTCCCCTCCTGTCCCATCCACCTGAGATGACCACCACCCTGTGTTCAGTGACAGACTTCAGAGCCTACTGCAGCTCTCCAGCTTGGGTCATGAGGAATCTTCCTTTCCACCCTCGAGATCCAAGCCGAGAGTCCCATAAAGTCCGGCTGGCTTCCCCTAGGGCAAGCAGCAGGGCCAGGGTCCCAAGAAGCCCTGTGGAACTAAGCACCAGCTGTTTCTGTCTCCCTGGTGTCACCGTCAGCACTGAGTAGCGCCTGGAGCTGGTGTGATGCATGGCTGTCATCCCAGCACTTGGGAGGTTGAGGCAGAAGGATCACCATGAACCTGAAGCCAGCCTGGGCTACATAGAGAGTTCAAGGCCAGCCTGAACTACATAGTGAGACCCTGACTGAAAAAGACAAAAAAGAAAAGAAAAACAACCCACAGTGTTTGGCACAACACCTGCGCCCCCAAGTCCCCTGTAAATGCATGTGACAGCAATGTCAGTGTCTACTAATTGTCCCACTCTGTGTTTAGGAGGCGCAAGCAATGTCTCTGGCCCCATTTTGGTTTTTGGGTTTTCTGTTTTTGTTTTTTTGAGTCAGGGTCTCACTGTGCAGTTCAGGCTGGCCTTGAACTCCCAGTGATCCTCCTGTCTCAGCTTCCCAAGTGCTGGGATTAAAGGCTTGCGCCCCCACACTCGGTCTGGTCCCACTTTTTAAACCCTAGGGGTTGGAGGTTGCCAGAGATTGTGACCAGGGATCCTGTGCTCTGCCACTAAATGACACTCCCTGCCCTCAGCATTTAAAAAAATTCTACATAATCAGGCAATGCCTGGTGGTGGCACCGGCAATCTCAGCACTCAGGAGGCTGAGGCAGGCTGCTGTGAGTTTGAGGCCAGCCTGGGCTAGAGTCAAGTTCAAGACCAGCCTGGATCACACACCAAGACACTGTCTCAAAAAACAAAAGTGTATGTCCAATCTGTCACCTATAGGGGTGGGGGACCAGCAGAGACCACCAAGCTTGAGTAAAGACCACGTGGCATGGGAGGTACTGTCCCTGTGTGCAGGCAGCAGAGAGCAATGAGGCCGCCTGCCCTGAACAGAGAGGCTGCACCCTTCACAGGGTAGTACGCCAGGCAGGAGATTTTAATGAACACCTGTGGTTACAGAGCTCTGGCGTCGCGCCTCAGAGAGCAGAAACCCCAGCTCACAAACCAAACCAAACCAAACTAAAAACCAAAGCCCTGCAGCATCCGGTGCAAACTTCCGGGGTCCCCCGAAGTCCCAGAGCCCGCGGACTCCTCCTCCTCTCTGCTCCTTCCTCCACGGCCTGCTGCGCTGGCCCCATGGGCTCCCCTGAGAGCGGCGCTTCCGCAGGCGGCTGGGCCCCAGTCAGGTCCAATTGGCATCTTACACAGCCACGCCATCAAAACAGCTCTACATGTTTTCCAGTCCTCCCGTGAGTGACTGGGGGCCCCTACTGTCATTCCAGAAGAGTCTTGGGGCTCGGAGGGACAACCTGAACTACCCCTGCCCTGCAGCACCACACAGAGCCGCTGGGAACTGTCCTGCAGTGTGACAGTGACACCGACATGGAGAGAGCACGCGCGCTCGCGCGCTCCGCGCCATCCTTGGGAGGGACACAGTGTGAATCTCTCCACGCTGGGAACACAGGGTCCCAGAGGGCTCCCGGTCCGGGCTGCTGTCCACACTTTCCTGCGCCCCAGCCAGCCGCCCGAAGATGGAAAACTCCCGGCCCTCAGGAGGCTGAGGCAGGAGCCTGAAACCCATCTCAAAAACCAAAGCCCAAAACAAACGTAAAATCCTGTTCCTCGGTCATACTGGCCGCGTTCCAGTCTCAGGTAAGCCTGGGCCAAGTCACTAAACAAACAGCCATCGGTGTGTTCTACTGCGTGTCTGCAGCAGCACTGCCCAAAGCAGAACCGCGCAGGGGCGCCCCTGCGCCCACCCGCGATGCGTTTCGGGTCGCCGGCTTTTGTGTCGCCAAGGCGCACCCTTGTGGTCAGACGTGAGATGTGCAGCCCCAAGACTCCCCGCAGAAGCCCCAAGAAACGTAAAACCCGCTCGGTCAGTGGCTTAGGGTTAGAAGGGCTCCGAGCCGATCGCTAGGTAAAGCGGTAACACGGCGTGCTGCTTTGAGACACAATGACGTGTGTGTCACAGAGCAGCGCGGGGAGCATCTGCACACCCCGGAAACCTGATGCCTGCACCGCAAGCTGCTCCCCCATCTGGAAGTCTGGGTGCTCCCTGCCCGGTTACACAAGCAGCGCGCTCGGAGGCCACGGTGCAGTCCCCTCCTTCAGTCCCTCACCTCAGTGCAGCCACCTTGCTGGCCTCCGCGTCCCCGCCAGCCCGCTCCTGGGCTCCCCCTGCCAACTGCTCTGTTAGGAGAGATGTGACCACCATCACCAAGGGCTCTCGCGGGTTAACTGAGCCGTCACCCTGACAAGACTAGAAGACAATCCTGGACCAATATCACCGTCCAGTGTGGGTCCCCAGCGAGGCCGTGGGGGGTGGTCTGCTCATTCCCTCAAGCACTGAGCCCCCTGCGTGGGTGGAGCAATGAGCATTTCTGTTAAATCCCCAAGAAGCCCGAGAACCCAGCCACTGCAACCCGGCCAGGCCCACTCTGGCCACCACCTGCCCTGGGCTGTGTAGACCCCCTCGCTTCCCCCAGGTCCTGCTGGTCCCAGTGACCCGCCCCTTCCCCTTCAGAAGGTCCTGGGGTTCGGATGTAAAAACAGTCACAAGGTCCAGCCACTGCAGAACAAGAGGCCCTGCTTAGAAAGGTGGACTGTGCTCAACTGTCACTGAATGACCCCTGCTGACCCTCAAGCAAGCTCCTCCGCTTACTGCCAGCCTCCCCAGGACCATGGTGCCTGCGCTAGCCCGTGCCCTGTAGTCTTTAACCTGGTGCTCACCAACTGCTCAACATGAAAAGGCAGAGGACGAAGCCCTCACATCCTGGTGTTTCACACATTTTATTTCAGCATTCTGAACCTGCCCCAGAACCCAGAGGGAGGGCAGAGCTGTCACTGGGTCGCTAGGCTCCGTGGGCAACCCCTGGACATGCCTCACCTATCACGGAGGCCCTGACATGCTCCTTGGCTCTGGACCAAGGTCAAGCAGTGTCTGGCTCCCACAGTGCCTGACAGGAAGACCCAAGCAGTCAGCAACCTTGGTCAGATTCTAACTCTCACTCAGTTTGTGGCTTTTCACAAAGAAACCACTTAACTTCTTGACCTGACAAGCCAGGGGGAGCAGGAGAATGGCGGCTGGAAGTTAGCTTCTCCACATTATCTGAGTTCCACCCTAGAACCAGGAAGCTCTCCGAAGGGCAAGAGAGCTGGACACTGCCATCCTGGGACAGAGGCCTCCAAGATGCAGATGGAAGCTGGACACTGTCACAGAAGTTCCCAACTTACCCCGACCCAACAGGCAGCACAGCGGCGTGGGCACTGAAGTTCCCCATTGAGAAGACCTCAGGTGGCCTTGGTTCACAGCTCAGATTGACGCAGGGCAGCTTGGGGCCCGGCAGCCAGCTGCAGACACAGCTCAGCGGCTTAAGCGCTTGCTTTGCAAATGCTAGGCCCTGAGTTCGATCCCCAGTACCAGAAAAAAAAAAAAAAAAAAGAAAGTGGCCCTGCCACTTGCATGGGAAGGCTGCTGCCTTGGTCTGGGCAGGGCCTGCCAACTGTGAGCCGGACACAGCCTCATCTCACAGACAGAAACCTTTGGCTTCCTCCTGTCCACAGGAAATGGAAACCCGTGCAGCCTGTAAACAGGTCTGGGAGTCTGGGGTCCTAGTAGCAGCCACAGTGGCAGACACTAGCGACCCTATGAGCTCTCCATGCTGCTCTCTCACGGGAGAACATGCAAGGGCAAATCCGTTGACAGAAGCAGCCAGGCAGGTGGCCGGGCAGGCCCACACGGGGACTGCGTGCAGAGCAGCACAGGGCAGCACATGTGAGGCCTGATGCCATTTCCAGCGAGCCGCAGAGAGGACCAGGGCACAGCGCTCCCCCACGGGAGCCAGGAGGGCGTGCGGTGCGGGTACTGTGTGCGTCACAGGCCTCTGCGTGTGTCTGAAGGCACAAATTACTCACAAAATAACAAGATCCAACTGACAAGCACTCCGGAGACCGTCTGTCTGCAAGGGAGGGAGGAGTTCTGAGACCGGGGAGGGCCGCTCCCCACCTCCACCAGAGCCAGCAGAGGCCGCAGGGCCCTGTATCCAGACCACATCGCAGGTGACAGCAATGCGGCAACGAGGGCTGTGATAATTACGGCTCTTAGCTGATGATCGAGTAGAACAGACACTCAGACAAAACACATGACTGCACGGCACGGCTTTGCTGGATTTTATTCAGAGCTGGCCCTCGGGCTTCACCCCGGAGAGGACCAAAGCCTGCGACCCAGTGTAAACACCATCAGAGGCTCAAAAATAATCTTCCAATCTGTGCTGCGACCCGGATTTGGCACAATCACATCACATGTGGGCCGGAGGCAGGCATCTCATCGGGTGCCGGCTGGGCCACGCTCACTCTGTTCGCCCGCGGAGCCGTCACCTCCGAGTCACACGAAGAATGTGGTGTCACAGGGCCGTGCGCTGTCCAGAGAACAGCTGTCTCTGTACCTCACAGTTCAAGGGCGACTGGAGTCAGGTCCCCAGCAGATGGGGGCGCACGGAGGGGAGTGCACCAGGCACCCCAGGGACACCACTCCAGGCATGAGCTCACGCCATGGGACCCAAGGACAAGACCTGCTCTTAAATAAACTCTTCTGTTCATAAATAAACTCTGATTTTTTTTAGTGCACATTTACAGACCTGATCAATAAAAAGAAACTATATATATATATATTTTCCCTTAAAAAGAAAATGTAGAGACACAGAACACTACGGAGACCTCGTCCAGGGAGGGAGGAGCAAGCAGAGACAGGAGGCACACGAGACAGCCTAGCACACACACCAGCACACGAGCAGCTGTGGCGGCAGCGCGCGTTACTTGAACTCCAGTAGGTTGCAGTCGATCTTATAGTACACGTAGGGGTAGTACTCCTGCTGGCTCAGGTTCAGGCCGGGAATGTCCACCGGGGCCTGCGGAACAACAGAGACTCAGCTGTGGGCACGGCTGCAGGGGTGCAAGCGCGGCACCAGGCCCCTGCCCGCACGGAGCAAAGGGCCAATGCCCCTGGGGCACCCGGTGCCCAAGCCTCACTCGGCCGGGCCGTGAGGCCATGTGGGCACACCTGAGCCCAGGTCCTGCGCACCTTGCTGCTTAGATGACTGGCTCCTGGCACCCCAGCCTCTCGAGACACCACAGGAGCCAGTGCACCCTCCACACGTGTCATCTGATACTGTGCCTTGCCTTCCTTTTCCTCCATCAAGAAAAAACAATTTTTTTTTTTTTGTCTTTTTCCTTTTTATCGGTACCGGCGATCGAACTCACGACTGCCTGCTCGCAAGGCAGGTGCTTATGCCGCTGAGCTAAATCTCCAGCCCCAAGAAAAACCAGTTTTTAAAGATTCTAATCAACGCACATGTGAGATTCTAGTGTCAGAAAGGGAAAAAAATCAGCAAGATGTGGAAAATGAAATACATAAAAGCCCACAAGTTTAAATAACAGCAATTTTAAAAATAGATCCTGTTTATAGCTGATTTAAAAGAAACCTCTTTAGAAAAATGTTGCCTTTGAAGCATTGGCAGACGATGGTCATCCCTCACCAGTCTCCAGTCCCCTCACCTGCAGCCACACAGTGGACACCCAGCCAGGGATGCTTAAGAGCTTCCTGCTGCGCTCCTGACAGACCAGGACCAAAACTGGGCCAGGCGGCAGGATGCATGCGAACGCTCCTTCTGGTCCATCCACTGGCGGCCCCCGCACCCCCACGACACTCACGTCAATGATGGCGGCCGCACTGCTGTCCAGGTGCTTGTAGAGCTCATGCAGCACCTCCCGCAGCTTCTTCATGGTTTTCTTGTTGGGCTGCAGCAGCATCGCCTGGAAGTTCACGGGCAGACCATACCTGGGCGGACAGACAGGCGTCGTCACAGAGCAGCACACTGTCCCCAGGGTCACAGGCTGCCCCTCTGTGGTGCCCGGTGCTGGGGGCCCCGCTGGTCCACACCACACTGCACTTCTCTCTGCTGACTTGAGTCCCTACTGGTGAACACGCTCAGGAAGCAAGGCCTCCCGGAAGGCCAGCGGACGCCTCCATAACACACATGGGGCCACACCGGCTCTGAAGCGTGGAGACACGTGAGCACGGTGCGCCTGGCTACCAGCGTATTGCTTCTGAGAGCCAGATCTCGCCGTATGGTGAGATCTTAGTGTGACACGCCTTTCTCCCAAGCGAACCCAAACCACAGTTACCTTCGGAAGGCGATGCACACCCAGTGACCCCATAGGACTTGCACGGGCAGAGGAGCACCTGGCACCCAGGAGGCCACGGCCACTGCAACGCACTCCCCATGCAGCATGGTACACTGGGCACAGAGGTAATGCTGGACCCGAGAGACCACCCCAGGTTTGGTATTCACCACTCGTCTACTGTTAAGAGTGGACACCTTCTAATTACAGCTTCCAGCCAAGCCCCCCGACGGGCCCCCTGAGACACTGCTGCTGCCCACGTACCTCCCGCCCCCCGTCTCCGCACGGCGCCCGGGCACCTCCTAGCTGCTCTGAAGGTCCCACCCCAGTCACCACCTCCCTCAACAGACCTCGCTCACCAGAGCCAGCGGCTATGGCAACACCGACCCCATCTGTCCCCTGAGCCCAGGACATGGCAGGGGCACCCCACAGCTCTCCCTCCCTGCCCGATGCTCTCTCCGAGCCAACATCCTCCCCTCCCTGGACTGCGGGAAGGCTGCCGAGGAGTCTCCAACAGCCTCACCTGAGAACAGACTCCACGAAGACTCTCAAAGCTTTCACATGAATCCACGCAATGAACGCTTCACTGAAATTCACTTTCAGCCACCGCACGAGTGGTCCCTTTAAGAAGAAACAAGACACACATCAGGTCGCAGGGAGGGCAAGCTGTCCAGCCCACGGCTGCTGATAGCCAGGAGAACCCACACACAGGGACGTGGGCAGTCGCGGCGCCGATACCATCACCCTGGGTATCGGACCCTCATCTCACAGCCCGGCCTAGAGAACAGTCGGTCAGTCACGGACGCTAGAAAGAGCTGCACCAACTCACTAACACAGAAAAGACACTCACTTTTACCAAAGTAGTTTAAACTGGTGCAGAATGGTTTAAACAGGTGTCTGGGGTTTGAAAACCAAAATACAAAGGTCTAAATTTACTATAAAACACTTAATACACCTACACAAAATTCAACTGAAAAATAACTTCTTGGGAACAAAGACAAAACAGCCATGAAGATCAGTGCCTGATCGCCCCGACTCTTACTTTTCTCGTCTGGGTCTCTAAGCCTCTTCCTGGCCTAAATTTGCAATGATTCCAGCACTTGGCCTTCGGGCTGGCTATCTGCCAGGGGAGTGGGGCACTGAACCCAGGGCCTCCGCACTGAGCTGCACCCTCAGTTCCTTCCTTTCACTGAGTCGCCAAGTTGCCCAGGTTAGACTCAAACTTGTGATCCTCCTGCCTCAGCCTACCAGAATATGGCACCATGCCTGCTTTAAAACATTCAATATGATTAAATACCTTTTCCTAAGAAATCTCTCACATTCCAAAGAAATGCACTATCAGCTAACATCTGGAGAGCATTACGGGGCTCACTGTGATGTACCGACCAATTAATTCAAGCAAAAAGGATAATAAAACTAAGGGAAATATCTGGCCAAAATCTCCCTTCTGTGAACAGGTTCCCTATCCTCCCTAGCAAGGTGGTCACCCAGGACAGCCCCCGCTCAGGGACAGTTTCTCCCACTGGTGACACGGACTTGGCCTGCAAGATACCTGGATGCTTTCAGCAGAAGCCACCTTTCTGCTCCCCTTGTGCCCCATCATATGGGCCCCTGCCTCTCTACACCCCGCCTGGAAGACAGCAGGGTCCCCATCCCCGGGATGCGCCCGCTCTCACCAGGGCAAAGGCGAATCCCTTCACCAGAAGACTAAGCCCCAGAGAAAATGAACTTTCTTACTGTGGAGAGTCCTTCTCTCCAAGGACAGTCGCCAGACTCCTGCAGGAGGAGCACTCCCTCCCTGGCTAAGTATCCTGAGAACCACGTACAGCACTAAGCTTGTTTAGAAGAAATGCACTTGGAGGACTCAACAGAAAAGGAACCAAATATCCCAAAGCAAAACCGGACTTGTGTTCTCAGTCAGAGAAGCAGTTTCTCTATCGTGGGCTCAGCGCAGGGGCGGGGCCAGACACCTACAAACTGCTTCTTCTTGTCGGTAGAAAGCCGGGTCATCTCCTCCTTGTCTGCCTTCATCTCCACCTCGTTGTACTGGAAGTCGCGCACGATGAATCTGGGTTTGGGAGAGAACAAGCTGTCCACACCACTGACAGAGCTCCTGCGGTGCGGGAACGGAGGGGAAGGAGACTCACTTGTGCTCCCTGGCTTTGTGCCGGAAGTCGTCGACGGCCTTCCTGAACAGGGTGACATTGCAGAGGTAGCTGTCCTGGTCCTCCGAGAGCACGCTAGGGGACAAGGAAAAGCCTGTTTCCAACATGGGCCCTGGCACTGCTTCCCCATCCGAGGGCGGACGCGGGAGGAGAAAGCCAGGGACAGCAGGGAGGAAGGACAGCCGTGGCCAAGCCCCCAGCATGCTTGCCACACAGCCCTCTGCTCCAGTTCAAAGGCCACTCGCCGTTTACTCTCCAGGCTGAGGCTTTGGTGCTGATGCCTCCGTACCCTGTATCACCCCATGAACCAGCACAGAGAATCATAAGACTTGAACTGAGTGAGCATGGGAACGTGGGGTGCAGACTTCTCAGGCACATGCCCTGCTTCATGGAGCCCGTGCACCCCCTCTCCCGCCTCTGACTTTGCAACTCACAGCTGGCCAGGGCCCCGGGCGCCGCCGTGTGATGGGGTCATGTTGGAGTCTAGGCTCCACGACCTCACCCAGAAGCCCTTTCCAGACGTGGGTGCCATGGACTGCGCCCTGCAGAAAGGTGAGCGTGGCCAGGGAACAGCCGCTCCTGGAGGACGGGCTGCTCGGCTCCTGAAATGTTCGATTTTGCTTCCCAGGCTTCCACCGGCTCAGGGGACAGAGCCCTGCTGACAGGCTTCCTGCTCTGCTTTTCCACATTCCAGGCACCTCTGAGGTTTGTGACTTTTCAGAAACAGCTTTACTGAGGTATGGCCAACCAATCCCACAACGGCTGGGAGGACACAGCCACGTAGGACGCGGCAGTGTACCAGCGCCACAAACTACACCTACTGAGGCCAAGTGCCCTGGGCCTCTGTGGTTACCATTTTGTTTTCATTTACAATGAGGATTCCTGAAATGAAGTCAGTTTCATAAATCTGCAGGAGTGCTTGTAGGATTTAAAGATACTTTGGTTTGGGGGGAATTTTTCATTTGTTCATGTTGGTACCAGGAATTGATGTCAGGACCTCACGCTTACCATCAGGCGCTGTGCAGCTGAGCTACATCCCTGGAGCCCTCCCCCTTTTCTTTGTGACTCAGGGTCTCACTTCTGAGTGCTGGGATGCCAGGCATGCACAGAGGCACATCATCCCAACACTTGGGAGGCTGAGGTGGGGAATTGCCATGAGTTCAAGGCCAGCCTTTAATCTACATAGCCAGACCCTGTCTCAAAAACAAAAACAAAAAAAGTCCATAAAAGCCCCCTCGCTTGCCTTCTCTGTCCCCAGGAAAAGTATTCTCAAGCTCAGGAGGCACAGCCATGCATCCTCAGCATGCAGCCACCTCCTGATCTTCTCAGGGTGGTCTCCCAAGGACCCTCTGGGCGCAGACACACGGGGTACAGCACTTTCTCCAAGAAAAAGTCATGTAGTGGTGGCAGAGCACAGGGGAAGGTGTCCTGGAGGAGCTCTGGTCCCAGCCCTGCCACCTTGACTTAAGACACCAGATGCTGTGGAACCCACTTACCCGCCAGGGCCCTCACCTATGCGACCAAGAATGCTCCCCGGGACTGCACTCCGCACTGTGGGTCACGCCTGGGAGTGGTGAGGGCTTCTTTTTACCAGGCCATATCAATGGGGGTCAGCACAGCACTCACCTTGGTGGTCCCTTGGGACACTCTTTTGCTAGACACCCTGAGGACTCAGTCATGTGGTGGGCAGCCCACCAGAGACCCAGGATCTGGCCCTGGCCCTGCCACAAGCAATGCATGACATGCTGGGCCAACAGCTCCCCTTGTACAACTCAGCTTCCTGTCTATAAACTCATGGGTCCCTGGCCTGGGCCATGTCCCTTCCTGGTCTCAGATCATGACACCCCAAGTTAATGCAACTCAGTGATGAGGTAAAATGATGCCTCTGGAATTACACATTTACCACAAAGCAGAGACGTCTGGGGCGCAGGTGGCTTTGCGAAGGTCACCACTTACTTGCTCGACCTGGGCACCACCATGTCAACCAGCGTCTCGTACTGCTTGATCCAGTCATTGTGGTTCAACCTGCAGGAAAGGCAGAGTAGGGAGCACCGGGGATCAGGCTGCTTCCTGCCGCACCCTGGAAAAGCCAGGGGGCGAACAGGACTGGGGCCACAGTAAACTAAAGCATCACTACTTCAGACATGCCACGTGACCAGCCTGACACCCGGCACGTGCAGGGAGGGAACGAAGCCACGGTGACCGTACAGGTTTCCCAGCTCTCTGGCAGGTGAGTGTGAGGCTGAGGGCAAATTAAAATCAGTCACTGCTGGTCATGGCCAATGTGAAGGGCTGAGGAAAACCCTATTCACAGCAAGCATGGAGAGGCGGTCACAAGGCAGAGGCCCTGGCACAACAGCCTTTTCCGCACGGCATGGGCCCACAGCTGTGTGTAAGGTACCAAATAAACAGCACCAGGCTCACAGGCCGACCAGAGTGGTGCAGTGCAGTGTGCAAGGTGCACAGGCAGCCCTGGTACGGCCAGGACATGCAGAGGACTGAGGAAGGCTTCAATTTTAAACCTAAGTTCTAAGGAGAGGCTGCCTGAGACCAGCGTCACTAAAGGCGATCTTCCTATATGGTGAAGTATACAGGCATGCAGAAACGTGCAATAAAAACCAATGTCCCGAAACAACTGAAAAATGAGGTGACCACAGCACCAACCTGCGGGGTCAGACCTGCAGCTTCACACCCCTCTCCTTGGGAAAGGGAGACCTAGGCGCCTGCATGCACCATGGCCGGGACCCCTGGAGCTGTGTCCCTCCCTGCTTGTCCTCCGGGCTGTGCCCGGAGCCACAGTGCCATGAAGTGGATCCTAGAGGGAGGGCCTGGTGGGAAGCTCTGGAAGGCCTGCAACCAGGGCAGCACACAGCACACAGCACCGCAGCACCGCAGCAAGCCCGCGTGGGGAGGCCTGGCTCTGCTCGCACGTGGCCCCTGCCTTTGCCTCTATTTGCTTCGTGGTTTCTCCAGCCGGAGCTGCACGGACACCAGGAGACGCAGCAGAGACAGAGACTGTATGGCAGCAAAGCCCAAAACACGGACAGTCCAGCTCACAAATGCTTTTTCTCAGGCCCTTGACAGAAAATAATCTGCTCACCCTGATCAAATCCATTCTTTGTCTCTATAGGGCTTTAAATCACATCAATTAGTCATAGAAATTTTCCAAAAAATCAAAAGACTTTCCAATTCTGAAAAACCTAAAATTTGTTTTTTAAAAATCCCACTAATTTTGGGCTGGGCATGATGGTGCATGCCTATAATCCCAGCACTTGGGGGGCTGAGGCAAGAGGATTGCCATGAGTTCGAGGCCAGCTGGGCTACACAGTGAAACCCTGTCTTCAAAAAAAAGAAAAAAAAAAAAACCCCAAACACCAATTTGGCACTTTTTGTCAATGAACCAACTCCGCCTATCTCAAGTTGTAACTGAGCCTCCACCAGCAGTTACGAGCCGAGTCCTGCTGTGTACACAACACACAAGGACACGGTGCTGACGGGCCATGTTCCTCCGGCACATGGATGTTTTCTGGAAAACATCCACCACAGCACCAGACGCTGACATTCGCCTTGACTTTTACCAGGGAATATACGTACTTGGGAACCACCACCAGCAAGGTGACGAGATACTCAGAGTCGAGGACAAAGTCGTCCTTCTTCACGATTTCCGCCAGACTGCGAGTCAGCAGACTTCCTCTGTGGAGTAAGGAGCAGAGCACTAGAATTATGTGGCAGTCACCCAGGCACAGAGAGGACCAGGCATCGCCACACACACGGAAAACATGTCTCAAGGGGCTCTGTGCAGGTCACGCTTCTGCTGCCCCCCAGCCGAAGCAGCACCCCTCCTCGGCCTGCCCCTCGCGTCCACCTCTGTGCCTGCTGTAATCACGAACTCTCGCTGACCATCCTGAGACAGGCCACTGATCAGACCGAGACTCAAGTGGATGTCCTTGTAATTATGGAGTTACGCCATCTAAGCATCGCCCTTGGTTTCCCACGGCTCCTGGCATGGGTCACTGAGCCCACTAATCAGCTTTTTCTTCCCCGCCAGGGTGCAGCCTCCCCAGAGGACAGCAGCAAAGTTCTGGGCCACTCCTGGTCACGTGTGCAAACCTCAAGGGCGACGTGCTGAGGTTGTGCATGACACACCCCCGAGACAGACACAGCAGGGGCAGAGCCTGAGCCTGCCCAGTCTACACCCACATCGATGCTCTGCAGGGACCCTCGCCCCTCAGCCTGGACAATTCATGGCAGAAACACACCGAATGTATCAAGGGATAGATCATGACTCAGTTCACTGCTGCTATCTATGAAATAATAAATCAGCCTGGCCTGCTTTCATCTGAACCCTGTAAACGTACAGAATGGCCTTTCTCCAGCACACTAAAGCAGTGCCCTGCAATTCCACAAGCGGCACAAGTTGCATCGGCACTCAGCCAACGCCTCTCGCTCAGGGTGCGCCCCACGCCGCTCAGCACCCACAACACCCCAGTGCTCACGCATTCTTTCGCTCCAGGTTCTGAAGATTCCCCTTCAGGTTGTTGTATGCAGATGCGCGGGATTTCAGGTCGTTATCAATCTGTGTTACTCCCTTTGAAACACAAAATGGATAAAAACATGCACGATTTTCCAAAGTCAGCCTCCATTAAATAATTAAAGCTGCTGAACATTAACATCTACAAACAATACCACTAGCTGGGACCACTAGGCAGGGAGTGGTGGCACACGCCTGTAATCCCAGCCCCTGGGAGGCAGAGGCAGGAGGATCACTGCAAGTTCAAGACCAGCCTGAACTGCACGATGAGACCCTGTCTCAAAAAGACAAAAACAAACGAACCCCACTAGTTGCTGACATAGAATGTCCTATTGTCTAAAAGTTTATTAACGGATCACTTCCACATGAACATTTCTAGTAATGCTTTAGCCCGCGTGCATTACCACTGTTATTACTATGTTGCAGAACTTCCTTCAGGGGCTGTGGGGCTCAGGGTGCCAAGCATGCCGTCTACAGCCGCTCTGGACATCTCGGCCTCCCCATGGCAGCAGCTGGCCCCACAACATGACTGCCACTTTACTTTTTAATCACCTCAGCAGGCTGTAGGCCGCTGGGTTTGAAGATGCCTACCTAAATCCACAAAGATCGAAGTTTAATTTCCAAACAGAACTAAATTACGGAGTTTTCACTATCATAAATTTCATTCCTATTACACAGAACACTTTCTCAAAGAAATTACAATTGTAAATGAATTTATAAGTGTTAAAAAGCTGCTTTATTTTCCAAGAGAACTGAAACAACTACGTAGGGAGAAAGCACGAACTTTAAGTGATGTGTGAAGGCCTGGCTTGGACTCGGCGCTCCCATGGCACCAGCGTTAAGGGCCCTGCACCCACACCCACAGCCACAGCCACAGCCACAGCCACACCTGAGACCGTGTCCTCATCCACAATCCCAGCAGCACAAAGCAGACTGAGTCCTGCTCAAGGATCCAAGCAAACAAGGATCAGTCACAGCAAAAGCTTGAGCACCGCTCTGCAACCTCAGGATACTCATTGCCTTTAAATAGTATGATGCAAGCCCAGGTGTGGGGACGCACATCCGTAATCCCAGCACACAGGAAGCTGAGGCAGGAGAAGCACTGCCTGAGCTACACAGTGAACTCAAAGCCGGCCTAAACTACAGTGAGACCCTGTCTCAAAAAAAAAAAAAAAAAAATACTCTGCGATGATGTCTGTGAACTAGCGACTCCTTTCCATTTAACTAATGTCACTAGAAATGAAGGAAATCTGTCCAATAACTTAAACCTCTCCAGCAGCTACCCCGCCGGGGTGTCAGCAGGTATTAGGGAGTCCTGTCTGTTTGTCTCATTACACTTTGTTGAGATTTTTATGCTCTGTCTCAAGTTTGAAGACTTTTTCCTTTTCTTATAGTACAAGGACTGAACCCAGGGTCTTCCCACTGAGCCACATCCCCAGCCCATCTTTTTACTTCTTATTTTGAGGTAGGGTTTTTTATGTCATTAAATTGTCCAGGCTGGGCTTGGACTTGTGGTCCTCCTGCCTCAGCCTCCCAGAGTGCTGGAACTCTAGGTGTATACGACCATGTAAGGACTTTTTAGTTTTAAAAAAAACTACCAAGTGAGACCCTGTCTCATAAAAAAAAAAAAAAAAAACTAAATGAGGGCCCTTATTAGCTTGGTGTGTACATGGATGGGTTTTGGGGCCCCTGCTCCCTGAAAATGCACCCAAAACCCCAAGACCTCAGCGCACAGGGTCAGTGCTCAACAGTCAGGTCAGACACCACAAATACTGTCTGAGTAAGTACGTACTCATTCTCAGCCTGGTGACTCTGATCACCAATGCAGGTAACTCATATCTTTCCCACATTTCAATTTCCCATTTTTGCCTGATCTAAGGTAGCCTGAATGTGTGTACAAATAATAACTATAGAGTTTTAAAGTTTCTTATTGGAATACTGATACAATACTTAAGTTAGCCATGTAAATACATACGACCCAACTCAGAAATCTACACATGAAAACCTCACACTCCCCCTAACTCTAGTAACAGCTAACTCCTTGAACGTCTAAAGGTGGGGTAGGAGGGGTGACCTCCTGCTGTGACAAATACCTAAAAAGCATTTCACAGCTAAGTCATACACAAACAGAGCCGGTCTGAATCAGTGTGTCCCACCTGTCTCGATGTTTCTCTTACCTTGGCAATTATTTCAGAAATATTTTTCAGGGACTGCTTGATCGGATACTTGGCCATATCCCACTGGAACCTCGTGATGTAAGTAACCAAGTCAACTGAAATAAGGGAATAAATTCACCACTGAGCAGAAGCAATACTTTTTGTTTGTTTGTTTGTTTTTTGGGGGGGGGGTTGCACAGCAATAATTTTTAATGCCAAAACTAACAGCAAAGCCATTGCTTCTAAAGAGTCCTGGTTAAGTAAATGTGGAACAATATTAAGGAACATGGAGTAACAAGAATGCGTGCCCTGTCACCTCTCCTAGTGGCTTTATATATAACGAAGCTTCTTCTAACGAGATGAGTTAATACACGGGATACCTATGTTGTACTCTAAGAAAATAGCTTCGTTATATGTGTATTATAGCAAACCTGTATAGGGGCTTACTAAATGTGTTTGTTTTATCCTTTTTCCCTAACTGATATGTTAAGTGACCTAACTGATATGTTGAGCAACACTCTCCCCTGTAAAAAATTGCAAGAATCTCACCTAATTGATATGTTAACCATTGTTGCCCTCTACAAACTACAGAAGCTGTGCTAAAACAAGCTAACAAGGGTTGTTAATCACTGCTAGGCGCCTCTATTCTCCACTAAAGAGCTAAGGAAAACTAGAATGGCAATTAATTTACATTTGTTTAAAGTAACCTGCTTGTGTGCAGAGAGATTTGCATGTGAGTTTAACCCTTTACCCTGACCTTGACACATTACCGCCGTTTTCTGTTCTGTATGGCGCCTTATTGCCTCCCTCTCCCCTCACCTATCTATCTAGGCCATAAAGAATCTGGGTTTCTGGTGACCTCCCCCCGCCCCCGACCCGGTGATGATCTGTCGTAAAATGAGCCTGCCCCAATGTTAAGAACTGCTTAGCTTAAAGAAATTACCGGGTAATACTATGGCCCAAACCCCAATCGGTGCTTTCCTTTTGTTCTGTATGCATCAAATGAGTTAGATATCAGGTCTTTGTAAAACTTAAGTTCCAGCGTCTCATAACTCGTGACCCCTTCGCACTCACTAGCGAAGACAAGCTGTCCTGAGATAATTAACTCTCCACTTTCTTCTCCAAATATTGCTGCAGACGTGCCACTCTGAGATAATGTCAGTCTGCAAGATGGGAGTAATTTAAAAAAACACCAGGAACTCCCGAGATTGTCAGAGCTAAGTGGACAGCAATACAGTTTCCAGACTCGGGTCAACAAGTTTGATGGCTCTGCAGGTTTCTTTGTTTCTCTCCCCCCGCCCTTTCCTCCAGCCCCTTTTTAAAGTCCTCCCTTCAGCTTCTGGGGGACAGTCTCCAAATTGGCTCCCGGAGACTGGTCGCCAGGCCTGGAAATAAAGCCTTTGCCACTAAATTTTCGGTCTCTTGCCTCCTTGGATTTTATACCGGGGCCCAAGTTATAACACCTATATGCTCACGATATGCTTTATTATAGGAAGAAAGGCAAAGACTTCTTCTAACTATTTCTGTGATAATTTGATTTGACATTGTTTACTTTTTTTTCTCCAACAATGTCCTCAAACTGAAAATGAACTCTTCTATGAACACGCAGCAGTGACTTTCTACTCTTTAGCAATCTTCAAAATGTGGACCTTTCACTTTCAAATGGAGAGGAAAAAAAGTAAAACCAAAGGACACGACTAGGAAGTCCCTGAAGCTTCGTACTCAAAACAACTTCAGCCTTCACGCCCAACAGGACCAAGACCAGAAGCCCAACAGTCAAGTGCAACAAAGCCAAATGACAGCAGCGACGCCTACTGACGCCTCTCTTAGTTCTCCCTACACGACCCCAGTGAGCCAAAAGCACAGCTACTTCAGCACGCAGTTTAGACCCACTGCCCACCCAAATCCTCAGCGCTATTCCATCGGCCAGACTGACTGCTCTAGTCTCCGAAATACCTCCATCAGTAAAGGTGACGTAAGTTAACATATCTACCTTCTGTTCTAACAGAAACAGTACGCAGTTACACCAGGATCCCTACTGTAACAAGAATCAAAATAAATTACTATATTTTAACCGATTAAATATCTATTGAACATCTATTATTTTCAAGGAGAAAAAGTGAGATTAGAAGAACACTGGATTTTAATAAACTGGTCTTACAGGCAATACCTTACAGGGAGAACATAAGGGCTACTTTCTACAGCACTAAAGAAGGATCTACTTTACAATGAAGCAAAAGCATTAAAAAACAAGTCTAAGTAAAAACCACGACTACAGGCTCAAAGTCTTCTTTGGAAGCCATCACCACAGAGCAGACTGTGCAGACGTCAGCCCCTGGCTACGGAGAGGACACTGGGAAACTGGCCTGTGAACGTGACATTTCAGAGCCTCGGCTAACACAAGCCTGTGCACTGTGTGATAAGCGCCAGCATTTACGGGTATCTCCCTGGAGACTGACTCAAGAGCAGGGTGCAACTGGCAATGTCACCTAACTCAGAACAGCAACTGTACTTCAGGGGCTTTCTTCTGTCCTCACCGTCCCCATTTACAGACTGCTTTCTTCCTGCCTCGCTCTGGGGCCAGGTCACTCACCGGGGAGGTGGTAGCCTGGACCGCGGCCCTCACTTACCTCCATTGGCCAGAAGGTTCTCCTGCACTTTATCTCTGCTGTCCTCCAAGACGTCAGCCATGTACTGAGCCACCTTCTTAACCACCCTGCAGAGGAAAAACAGACGAAACCATCACCACCATTCTCAGGAAAACAGACCAACATTCCAGGCTGCCAGTGGACACAGCACAGAAGGACATGACCTTGATTCCATTCTAACTGAGGAGAAATGGCTCTCACCTTCTGCCTAACACCACGAGGATAACGAGGGCTAAGGTAAAGAGCCCAGGATAACAGGGGCCCGAGAGGTGCACATGGAGCTGCAGGCAAAGACCTTGGGAGCAGAGCAGCAGGCGTGACGTGTGGAAAACTCGCAACGGCTGTGCCACTGACTGCGTGCCAGACCTGTACTGTGCTTGGCAGGAAGAGCAGGCGGGCAGCAGCACAGGGAAGCTCGCATGACACTGGAGAGCCCTACACACTGCATGCTCCAGAGGAGCCACGCTACAGCAGCAAGCCGAGAAAAAACCGCACGAGCTCTCCAAGTCAGATCTTTCATTTTCAATCTCAGAGAAGACCACAAGGAGCGACGAAAATAAGGGACTCGGCCAAAGGGGCGGGGCCAGCTGAGGCGGGGCCTCATGACACCGCATGGCTCCCCATGGCTTCTCTACCCAGCCCTGCCTCTCATCCTGACACACTCAAACTCACACCCATGCCAGGCGTGGTGGCGCACATCTGTAACCCCAGCACTTGGGAGGCAGAGGCAGGAGGATCATGAGATCCAGGCCAGGCTGGGCTACAGAGTGAGTTTCAAAAACTTAAAAAAAAAAAAAAAAGATTTCTAGATCACCTCAAAATAACCTGTTCTTATGATTAGGCTTTTGACAAAGTATAAACTATAACTCCACACCCCATCATGCTCAGGCTTCAAAAGCTCGAACATCTGAGTCATGAACCTGTCACATGTCATTCCAAGGCCAGACAAAGCCTGCTAAGTTTCTCAGTCCTTCAGACAGACTGAGGACGGGTACAGGGCAATATGATGCACAGGCGGCCAAGTACACCCACACTTGCCCTGAACACCTCCCAGATGCCTCTCATACAATCTCTGCAAATGCTCGACCATGCTAAGGACGGTGTCAACAACTCCAAGACCATCCTTCAGCCTTCGGGAGGGGAGCAAGGCCCACACATCCCCAGCCTCCTAGTTCCCACCTCGTTCTCCTCTCAGCGTCTCTCTGGCAGTCAGGACCCAAAGCTTAAGTACAGAGCAGGTACCAGGGTGCCCACCCAGGGAGGGCAGCCACCGGGAAGGCAACTCGGGGCTCCTCAGCACTCTCCTTAAAAACACTTGCAGGCCTTGCATGCACAAGGCCCTGGGTTCAACAACCAGCACCAAACCACAAGAAGAGGAAGAGAAGCGAACCCTATGATCAAGGAATCCAAACACTACCCTTCCCATCAGCTCAATCTTTGAGTATATCATCAATAGTTATTCTAGTATCACAATTCACCATACCTGCTCTATTATATGAATGCATGAATTGTAATCCCCCAAAGCAACTGTTCTTTTCCCTACTCCATTCTAATGTCAAAGCACCTGCGTCTCATGAAGCTTTTACTCTTGACTAATCTGTAAAACTGTCTTCTACAAGGGGTTTCTTGCCTCCCATTAAAAAATTTCTCTAGCTGAACGTGGTAGCTCATGACTGTAATCTCAACACTTGGGAGGCTGAAGCAGGACAAGTGTCAAAAGTTCAAGCCCAGTACAGGCTACATGTGAGTTCAAGATCCTGTCTCAAAAAAGGGGAAAAAAAGACAACCAGGGATGTATCTCAGTGCAAAAGCACTGAGAAAAAGTGATCGCCAGATATGGCAGTGCACACCTGTGACCACAGCCTTCAAAAGGCTGAGGCAGGAGAATCACTGAAGTCTGAGGCCAGCCTGGGCTACAGAGTGAGTTGAAGATTAGCTTCCACTGCGCTGAGAGAGGCTGTCTCAAAAAACCAACCAACCAAAAAAGTGATGACTCCACATAAATTGAAAAAAATACCTGCAAGTCGTGGCTGTTAAGGGACTTATATCAGAATATGGAAAGAATGTTTCTAACTCAATAATGAAAGACAAATAAACCAATTAAATGGGCAAAGGATCAAAGAGCCATTCCTCACATCCCATGGCTGTATGAAAATGTGGTACTTTAAGCAGGTGAGATGCACAGTATGTAAACCTTAGCTCAGTAGAGGTATTAAAGAGTATTTCTCATGTCTCAAATGTGCATTTCACTGTACACATACCGTACCTTCATAAAATGGATTTACAAAGAAAAAAGCTTTACTTCCTAGATCGATCAGAGGTATGTCGGTAGGGGGCTGACCACACGTGCAGGCAGCTGGTGACAGGCAAGTTCCTTACCCTTCCACAAACGCGTCCAGTTTAGCCAGCTCGTCCGACAAGCCTACCAAGACATCCAGTGTGCCGACCTGCAAGAGAGGGGACCACTGAGTCACAGCACGCTCACTCCTTAATCCACATGAAGATACAACTCAAGGGCCCACACTCTGAAGTCCCCCTGTTTTATTTCATCCTCTGTCGTCTGGCCCAACGCTGTTTACCAGACATTTCAAATCCCATTCCTGCATGCCAGCTAATCCTCTAATTACTCCTACAGGCGCCACCAAGGACACGAAGGCTTGTCACAGCAGGCCTGGGCCCAGTCTGGGCAGGGACAGCTGATCAGCCTGGTTCTCACTCAGAACAGAGGGCAGAGCCCAGAGGTGGGCACCGGAGACTCCATAGTTGAATTTGTACACAATGTGTACAAACAACCACCTTCTGAAAGAATGTCCTGTTCAAAAAATCCCTAACTCCAGATCATACTGGTGGCTTTGAGCACATCAGTGCCTGCCGTGGCCAGCTAGCAAAATACAAGCATCACTGACCTCCACAGTTTACAGCAGTTCAGCTTCGTGCTGGGGGCCCGCTTCTCACTGAGGCTGCTGGGTAACGGGCCTTCCATGCATTAAACAGAGCAGCTGGACTGCATGGTGGGATCAGGTCTGGCCAGCAAGATTAGGTAGGTGGCCTGGCTGACCCTGACAGTGTTGCCAGGATACACACAGAAAAATGTACTCACTGGACTTTTTAAAAATTGTATTCTTAAGATTTTTCCTTTCGCTCTTCCGGTGTCATGGCGTCAACTGCAGCTGAGTTAGTTAGAAATACAAGCAACTGACTTCTGGGAAAACATGGCGGACAGATAGCAGCAGCTACCGAGGCTCTCTGAGAGACCCAGCTTAGAATCCAGGAACGGTGCGGAGTGAGGAATCCTAAGCAAGAGGAGATATTCCCTGCTGACCTAAGAATGAACTGGGCTGAGAGAAACCAACTGGGAATACAATCCTGGTGCTATAACAGGAACAGATAAAGCCTCATCGAGGAAGCTGGAGCCCACTCCATTGGAAGATGCAATTTGGGTCTCCTGCCGCCGCTGCGTCTGAATCAGCTCGGCAGGGAGAGAGATTCGCGAAAGCTCTGAGAATGGGAATCGGTGAACAGTTGAGAGCAGGACGGGTGGGGAGCCATGCATCGACCTGCGGAGAGTGAAGGAAACTGGTGGGACTCTTTCACGGTCTAGGAGGCTCCAACAGAGGACATTCTGGGACCAGTGCCAGAACAGGGCACTATAGTGACCTCAGTCACATATCCCCCTCTCAAGCGGGATTGATGAGCAGTGCCTAGCCTACGTGACGCTGCTGGCTGAGACCCAGTAGGCTAGCACAACCCAGGTCCCAGCGCCTGGAGGTGCACCCTAGCAGTGAAGCCTTCGGTAGGTTGACCTGGAGGGGCAGGCCTAGCAGAGGCTGCCCAGTTCATAACTCCCTGATGTGCTGCAGTGGGAGGGAACACCTAGCTGGCACAATTCACACAGACTGTGGAAGCTGGGCCTCCTATATATGCTTGTATTTAAGGAACAAAGAATAAGGGAAGAGGGAGCAATAAGAAAGGCTCCTTGGCCCCCAATCCTGAGAAACAGGCAATTGCAGACACAGCACAGATAGACATAAAGCGCTATCTCCAGAGCCTCATAGATGAGTTCAGGAATGAAGTTATTAATGACCTGAAGCAAGACATAAGCAGAATAGTTAGAGAAATGCTAAGCACTACCCAAGAAAAAACAGATGGTGGAATGGAAGAACAGAAAAAAAGGGGAGAAGAGAAAACATAGAATACATGAGGCAGGTTCAAAGAGATTACCAGGAAACTAAAAACTCTATTGAAAGCTGGCATAACAGCTTGAAAGAAACTAAGGATAGATTATCTGAACTGAAGGGCAGATTTGTAATATGGGAGCATGAAATCAAAAACTTCTTAAAAATAACAAAGAAACAAACAGCAATAATACAAAGACTAGAAGATGATAAGAGGATCTATAACTTAAGAATAAAGAACATAAAAAAAGAGGTAGGGACACAAACAAATGAACTACAAAAGCTACTCGCAGAAATAATCCAGGAGAATTTTCCTGATTTAGCAAAAAGTAAAAATATTCAGATGTATGAAGCATACAGGACCCCAGCCACCTACAACCCAAACAGAGCTACACCCAGGAATATAATAATCAAATACCAGAAATCCAATATAAGAACAGAATATTAAAAGCCATGAGAGACAAGAAACAGATCACTTACAAGGGAACACCCATCAGAATTACAGCAGACTTCTCGGCACAAACCATCAAATCACGAAAAGTGTGGGGGAAAATAATTCAAGCTTTGAAAGATAATAACCTCCATCCAAGATTGATATATCCTGCACAACTATCCCTGGAAATTGATGGAAAAAACAAGGTGCTTCCAGGATAAAGAGGAACTAGGGGAATTTGCAACCACCAATTCAACCCTACAGAGAATACTGCAGGATATTCTAAAAAAAGAAAAATACGAAGAATCCAGAAATAGTGGCAGAAAGGCCACAATGAATGGAGCAGAAAACAAAATGAAGAAGACAAACTGACAACTAATGACAGAAAAAGAGCTCAACAGAAATGAGGCAGAGAAGAATGGATGATAGGAACAGCTATTTTGGAGAAAACGACGTCATAATAGGTAGTGCTGATTTGGTATCATCTTATTTTGAAGTCCCATCAAGCTTTTGTTTTTCTGTCCCCATAAGTCTTAACATGTTGTATCTTATTGGATTTTATTATATGTGATAGTATAAACAAAAACTTTTATAGACAAGGAGATTATACAGAAACCATTGTTCATTTTCTGTTAGTTGATTCTAAATACCCTGTAATACTGTCATTTTCTTGAATGGTTTTACATTGTTTTGATATATTTGATGCTACAGTATACGAAGTTATACTCAAAGATTTCAAGGAAAGAGACAATATGGTAACTACTTTTATGTCGGGATAAAAAATAGCAGGATATATTATAGTAACCCACTTTGACTTTCCATTATCTTGATTTAAAGCCCTGTATTGCTCTCACCATCTTGTTGTGACTGATGTTCCCCTATTCTGTTTTGCTTTATAGTACCAGGTTCGAAAGTTTAGGCAACAGCGTAAAGATAGTGGGATTCATTATGACACCCATTCTGGTTGACTATTATCTACTTTTGAAGACCTGTAATGTCTCCAATGTTTTGGTTCTGTTGGTTTCGTTCTTTACTGTTTTGTTCAATTTTATTATAACTGATGATATAGGCAATTCTATTGGAGATAGCGGGAGGCATTATGGTAACCATTGTTGATCACCTTGTATTAAGTTTTTACATTATCTATTATGTCCACCCTTTTTATTTGACCGACTCTGTTCTGTTATGTCACATTTGGTTTTACTTTCTTCCAAAAAAGTAATAAGAACTGTGGGAGTAATAAAATCCAAAAAGTATAATAGTCATTGTACAAAAGAGAGGAAAAGAAAGTGCTCTAAATGATATAACTGCATGTATATTTAAGTGTATAAGATAGACAATGATATTATTGAGTTTTGTTGGATCATTGAACAGAACAGAACTGTTTGTAGTCTCACTGTTTGAATGTCCACTTTATATGCTTTAATTTTGTAACTTGAACAAATATTTCTAAGATGACAATATGTAATCCATTAACTAGTGATTTCCTGTTTATTTTTTTCTGAAATTCTGTATAACTTGTACCCTTTTTCTGCTTTTTTTTCTTTTTCTCCTTAAATAAAATAAAATAAAATAAAAAAAAGATTTTTCCTTTCTAGACGGCATATTTGTAGATGTATATTTTCAAAGGATTTGCCAGTGCCAGTGCCCCAGAGGAAAGGATGCTATTTTGCTGGGAGCTCAGCCTGGAACATCTCAGAACACAGCACATAGCAGTCTAAATCCTGCCGAGGACAGAAAGAAGGGCGTGCCTGCGGGAGCCGGGCTCACATCACACTCCTACCCTCACTGTTCCGCTCACCTTTAAGTCAGGGATGTTGAACTTGGCAGTGGCGGCAAGGTTGTTGTTCTTGGTGGTGGCCGCGTGCAGCTTCTCCCATGTTTGCTGACAGGTCTTCTCCCCAGGAGCCGAGATGAGCCAGAACTCGGTCATGCTTGTCACCGTGTGCAGCTTCTTCGGAATCAGATTCGAGCTGTGAGACAGAGCAATGCATTTACTGCCACGTGCTGAAAACCTGTTGCAGGGCTAAGGGAGTGCGGAGCGTCCAGCCTTGCTATGCTCTTGACCACAACTATCCCCCAAAGGCCCTTGTATCAGGGCTCTGTTCCAGTCCTGTGGCATCACCGGGAGGCAGCGTGACCCAAAACATGGCCCTCGCTGGACGAAGTGAGGCCCCCCAGGGTCCTGGACGCTGCCCTCTCATCATCTTGCCTTGTGTTGTCTGAACTGGACTCTTAATATGCCGCCCAGGCTAGCCTCAAATTCCTGGGTTCCAGCCCGGCCGCCTAAACAAGAATAGGGAACACTTACGCCCTGAGGCAAAGGATCCCACAGAGACCTAACGCCGACACAATTATTTTCAGTGATAAAATATCCCGAACAGGAAACAGTGAAACTACCCAAACTACCTGTGTCACAGTGGGCAACGAAGAGCCTCCTCCCAAAGCCCCAGGACCACTCGGTGAGGAAGCACCTGGCAGGAAGAGGCAGGGGACAGGGTGTGGGCCAGAGGGCGCAGCCCCGCCCCTGGCTGGACCCCTGGGAGCGCTCTCCTGCAGCAGAGCCTTCCCCGCCTCAGCCTCGCAGCCAGCAGCTACAGGCCAAAGCACTCAGACCTGAGGCAGTCTCTCTCCTCCTCTAAATGGTGGGCACGGGTATTCCTGTCCCAGCAGAGAAAGTGACTAAGGCAACCTGCCACCAACAGTTTCCTTCAATCAAATCGCCTCATATACACACAACCAAAGTGGGAAAGTTTAGAAGTGTGTAACTTTTACACATGAGGAAGCGTGCGTCAAATCAGTACATGTGCGCAGCAGTCACCAAATACACTTGTACAGTGGCGTGGCAAATTCCAAGGGTCACACTGGTGGTGAATTCCAGTCCACAGTCACCAGAGGGGAACTGTCTAAATAACCTCCGTGTGTCAACCATTCACAATTTAATTTTGCAAAAGACTGTGCTTCACCAAGCATGCCAGGACGGGCAGAGGACGGGTGGTCTCTGATTAAACACACAAAGCAAGGGGGTTAGGGCCAAAGTCCGCCCCAGACTGCAAGGGAGACTCCACACGTAACCCTGTGGGCTGCCGCATCTACTGGACTAACTTTGGCCTTCTTTTCTGACAGAAAAAAAGAAAAGAGGCGCCTGGAGCCAAGGAGGCTTCGGTCGGCAGGCTTCCTCTTTGGGAGGGAGATACTCTCTCTGAGGCTTCCCTGCCCTGGAGACTGCTGCTGGCCAGCTGCTGGCCGTCCTCCCAGTCCAGAGTCTCCCATAAGGGCTGTGGCAACAGCAAATTCCACTATTTGGAACCAAGGGTGCGACTCTCCCGCCCACAGCCAGAAATGCGCCCGTGCCCAGGTTACTCAGAGGTTCAAGTACAAGTCCCTTCAGAGACTCAGAGACTCGCAGTAGCAGCATGGGGTAAATATTCACACCCCGAAAGACAAGGGCCAGGAGAATCAGATGGAACCTAGACCAGAGCCCAGCAAGGCATACATGAAGCCCAGCACCTTCATGCCCAGCACCCAGCACCCAGCACGCGGGGTGGGATGCAGGGTGGGATGCACTCGATGGCAGGGCGGAGGCGGCCCCACCCCGAGCTGCAGCTTGCCTGAGCAGCCTCCCACAGTTCCGGAGTCACTGATGTCCCGGCGTGTCCACAGCACAGCTGGCTTCACTCCTCCAGCCTCACCCGCCACCCTTTCTGGGGCTCCCTGCTCTCAGGCCCCCAAATTCTCAGTCTGTGTGCAACACCAGCACCGACCTCACTGGCAATGACTCCAGCAGCCACATTTCTGGACACCCAGTGTGAAGACAATGGTTTATCTGGCTCTGCTCCAGAGGATTTGGGCCATGGTCAGCTGGCTGGGAGGCAGAAGCAGCCCAACAGGACACGGTAGCCAAGGCCCTCGGGTCACACCAGCCAGGAAGGGCGTGGGGAGGCGGGAACAGCGCCAGAGGGGAACACTGTCCCAGGACTGTGGGGAGCCGATTTACACACCCCCTAGGTGTTTCCTAATTCAGTCAAATTGACCCATCACACGGTGTCCCTTGAGCCAGCGCAGGTGCAGCCCAGCCACAGTAATTAGGATTGTGAAATGTTTTCAAGGCAGCAGCCAACACTCAGTGGACACTCAGTGCACTGCATCGGAGCGCTTCCCACGCACTCACTCAAGTAGCCAAACCGCAGCTGGCTTCACTCAAGTCCTGCCACACGTCAGGTAAGCGCGATGTTTTCTGTGAGGGTAACAACCACTCCCCCGGCAGTCTTTCCAGCTTTCCGTGGTTTACTAACGTCTGTCTTCCACACTTAAAACCGCCTGGAGGGCACAGGGGAACCATGGTGGTCTTCCCTCACCACTTATCCTCGCAGTACCTGGCAGAGGGTGTTGTGGCAGAATCTCAAAGATACTGGCTGAAGACTCCTGAGTCAGCGCAGTTTCGGGGTTAAATGACACAGCGCAGTAACGGTCCTGGGTTTATACTGCACCCAGCTGGCTGACTTCCTTCATGTTTTTTTTTCCATTTTTTTCAGACAAGGTTTCACTATGCAGTTCAGCCCGGCCTCAAACTCAACGATCCTCCAGCACAGCCTGCCGAGTGCTGGGATACGGGTGTGCACCACCAGACCCAGCTCCATGTCCCAGTTTTAATCAACTTTATTAAAAGATCATCTACATGCAAACCAATGTATCCAGAAGCCCCAGCCTCAGCCCCACTGCTGGGCCCAGCTGATCCGGGCTGTCGCACAGGTTAGTTCTTCCTGACCTACACTTCCATCACCGGGAAGCACTCGCTCTTGTCCATCCAGTCCCTGGCATGCTTCGTGTCGTGTGTACCAGTTCCCTCTGTCTCACTGCCTCGTGGGCCATGCACAAACATTCTACAACTTACCTCTTCACCGATCGCCATTTAGATTTTCACAGCTTTGGAGCCATTAACAAAAGTACCATGGGCGTTTCTTTACAAAGCTTTTTGTGATGAGGTATTTCCATCTCTCCTGGGTAAGCATCAAGAGGTACAATTTCTAAGCGGAGTGATTAGAATGTATTTATCAGAAGCTGCCAAACTGTTTTCCAGAGTAAACAGAACATTTTCAGCAAATTCCAGCTGGCCCACAGGCTCTGTCCCACACTCAGAGCTCAGTCAGGCCAGCAGGCGGCGGGAACCACACTTCCAGGCCACTTCCCGTGATGACCCAGTCCAGCATCTTTTTGTATTATCGGCCATTTCTATATCCTTTCCCTCTCTGGTACAGTTTCTCTTCAAATCTTTTGCTCAACTCTTTAAAAAAGACAGCTCTTTGATCACTTAATGGTATAATTTCACGTATTGGTATAATCTGTGATATAGAGACCATGTGCATGTTGTGCCATGCTAACAAATCCTAATATGATCAATTTATAAGGAGAAAAGGTTTATTTCCATTCAGTACTGAGAGTTCCAGCCTGTGCTCGGAGGCCTGTGATGGCCCCACAGGAGGGTGGGGGTATGTGGTGAGATAAAAACCACTTGCCTCCTGGCCAGGAACCAAAGAGAAAGGGGCTGGGGTCCGAATTCTCTGCTCAGGGATGGAAGAGGCTCCCACTGCCTCCTAGTGGTCACCACAAGGGGGACAGAGCAGTCCCATAGGAACCCAGAGGGCACAGCAGACACTGGTGCACCATGTACACACCATGTTCTCCTCAGCCTCTGGCTCAACTTTTCTCTTTGTTTTTTAACCAGTGGCAAAATTTATTTGAAAATATAAAACTAAAGAGAAAACGACACTGGCTCTGCTGGTGACTTTGGGCCGTGTAAAGGATTGGTAACTGGTGGCCAACTTAACACACCAGGTGAACTAACTCAGCAGGCCCCCTGAGGACTGTGGCCAGCATGAAAGGAGACCTGGAGGAACACCAGTGCTGTAGGCTCTCCCAAGGGTGGGTTCTCCTTGAGGAGCTCGTCATGCTGGCTCCCCTGATACGAACTCAGCTGGTATCAGAGGAGCTCGGAACTTTGCTGCTGAGTGGCTGTGGTTCACGCTCTGGGGTGCTCTGGTCCCCTGAGCATTGCTTCCTGGCTCCAGAGTGGAAGGTGTGTGCTGTTTAACCCAGGAGATGCTTGTCACGCTGGCTTCCTGATATGAACTCGGCTGTTCCCGCTGTCGGAAGAGCAGTGGGACAGTGGGACCTCACTGTCAATGAAGATGGCTGGGGTACTTTTCAGGACACCTGATTCTTATTTTCAGTGATGCTTCTTGGCTCCACTGCAGAACCCTCAGCCTGCTGGCACAAGTCCTTCACCCCGCTGGCACAGACTTTCTAGCTCCCACCGCTGACCTTGGGGCCTTCCCAGCATAGATCCGTGGGACAGATTTGCATGGCACTGTCATGGACTCCAGGTTTTCAGCTGAATTCCTGCAGGTGACTGCTGTGGGATCCAGGCTCTCAGTGTTGTGGACAGATTTCCTGCACTTTCTTTGCATCCGACTCCTTGGGTGACCATTATAAATAATACTATAAATTATGTTATTGTTCTCCTTGCGACCCCTGACTACAACACCAAGTCGAAGAGGAAGGAGTCAGATGAAAGTATACCCTGGAGGCAGAAGGCAGGCTGTTCTGAGAGCTGCACGGATTTTTTTTTAATGCTACTTTTGAATAGTTCTAGTCCTACCCATTTATCGAACTTTCTAAACAGATGCTTTCTGTGGCATTGAAGACTCAGCCTAGGTCAAGGTCACATGTATTTACCCTGCTTGGAATCTTGAGCTTCTTGGCTTTGCAGTTTTCATCAAACCTGCAAATTCTTTTTCAGCCACTACGTTCTTAAAATAATTTTTCTGTTTCTCCTCTTTTGAGACAAAAACTGACCCATTCTACACCACTGGACACTGTCCCCCAGGTCACCTACTTCCATTTATGCTGTCCTTCCTCATAGCCATCTGGACGGTCTCTTACTTTGGCTTTTATTTTGCCAGCCTTTCAGGTACTGAACTTGCTATTTATCTCTTCTAATGAACATTCAGGTTCACTTTTCTGCTTTATGAATTCCATTTTTTTGAAAGCTTCCATTTCTTCACAATATCCATATTAAATCACTGAATATATGTCATAGATTCTGCCAGCCTGGCGCTTCGCCATCTCACATGACATCCGCCCAACTTGGTTCCGGACCCTGAGAAGCAAGTCTCTCTCCAAGAGTAACTTCTGCGTTCTCCTCCTCATTCCAGAGATGAACCTCCCGCTCCCTTCTTGCACATGGCGGAGCCCTCTCCAGTCCCCAGCCTCCACAGCCACCTAAGCCTCCACTCCAGCAATCTTTCCTTTCCTGTTTTGCGCACGCAGATGCTCCTTCAAATCAGCTGTTGAGATGTCATTTCGCCCGCCTCCCAAACTCCTCCCCCCGCCAGACCTGATAAAGTACTTCCACTTCTTTGTTCTCACTGAGGGTGGCTGCCTCTCTTCTGCAGCCCTCCTGAGCTCACAATAAAGGCCCTTTTTTTTTTTTTGTCTACTGCACCAAATTCCTATCAATATGCTTATAATTTGCACTTCCACACTGTCAATCACTGGATTTTGCGGTCTCCCTTTTAAGAGTGTGCTTTGAGCAGGCAGCTGAGTTTTACGAGGATAATGTCACATGGGTTCCAGGCTTTCCTAACTTGACTAACTCATCCTTACTACTAGGTCTGAACTGGGGGGGATTCTACTGGTGTCCCAGCCTCCAGCTCAACACGGTCACCACAGGTCCATAATTCACGTGGAACATGCTCGAGTTCTCTCCTCACTCAGTTCTTTGCTGGGCCTCTGCACAGAGCCCTACAGCATTCTGGTGCTGATGCCTCTCTGCCTATCCCCCTGCAAATCCTGGCCAGGTGCGCCTCCCCCACCCAACCCCACCAGCTGCAGGATCAACACTGCTGGGCTTCCCCTGCCCAGCCTGACATAGGAATCTGCAAGAACAGAGTGGGGACCCCCCTTTCCTTTCTTTCCATTTCAGCTGGAAGCAGCTCCTCTCCATGGCAAGCCCACGTCTGTGGCTGCAGCTGGGGGCACAGCAAGTCTGCTAAGTCACCACACTGGAGCCAGAAACCCAAGTCTTGGCTGCTGGGCCACACACATTTATTCATGAGGTTTAGATTTTGCTACTCAATGCGCAAGGATTTCGCCACAACCTCCCAGCCCCAGTGCTATGCTTTACCATGCAATAGAAAGAAGTAACGACAGAGAAAATCTAGCAAATCTGAGCCAAAAGGCTGAAGTACTGAGTGGTGAAGACAAGAGAAAGCCATGAACGTGCATTCATTTGGTAATAGGGGGAAATGTTCTATCCATTTCTTAAAAACACAGATGCAGCCTGAACAAACATCTCCCACGTTCATGTATGTGCCATTAATCCACAAACATGTGGCAAGCTGTCCTGGCTTTGTGATATACACTTAATTAAAGCACTGAGGAGCTGTCACAACTTGCCATCATAATAAAATAACCAAAATACATTTTCAGACACACTATGACAGCGCTAGGTAAAATAATTACATGTATGAGAACCCAAGAAAATTCTGTGGGTACAAGAACAAGATGATGATTTCTAAAAGACAATTTGGCAATATTATATATGGTCAAAGCCATAAAAATGTACGTATTTTTTGAGCTAGCTGCACCAATTTCAAGAAAATAAGGGTACAAGTATAAACCTTAATTAAAGTTACTAGAACCACCTCTTGGAAGTGGATTAATGATCATTTTCATTCTTCCCTAATTTTTAAATAGTGAATACACATAAATACTAAAAGCCTGCACCCTTATCACCATCGTGTCCTCGTATCTGGAAACACTGGTAAGGTTCGCTATCCAGCAATGTGGTAACAAAGACCTCCCCGCCAACACACAAGAGGACAGAGCTGGTTAACAGTGGCTGCACTGGAAGCCAGAGACCAAAGCCAGAGACCAACGCTGGGCCGCAGTCTCTCTACCTTGCAGGAATTAAAAGAAAACCCAACTGCCGGCCCAGGACACAGTGGACCACACAGCACTGCCCTGAGGACAGAAGACTGGACCTAACTCCTGCCCCTCATATCATGCTGCACAAATCTCTTCATAGCAGAGAAGAGGCTGAGACTGCTCTGTCCACTTCCGTGCGCTGAATCCAGGAGGTGAGTCCCAGGCTTTTCTTTCTCTGTTTTCTCATGAAGTCCAGGGAGATGAGATGCTTGGCCAGGTTTCAGAACGTCTGACTTAACACAGACATCTGTGTGATTAAGCAGTGAAGTGTGAATTACAAGAAGGGGAATACGCTCACATACAAGGGCCGAAAGTCTCGTCACCACCCCACACACAGCATGGGCTGTGCCAGAGCACGATTCCTGCTCCATACACACAGACACACACGCATCAGCCTACTTTCCACATGCTTTAATAGCAACTAACAAAAACAGTAAGTTAATACTAGTAATGGAATCAAGACCAGAGCCTAATGAAAGGTGGATCAACTCTTGCTTTATTCAAGAACCTACCCATGTAGCTCTAAAGGCGCCCCCAAGTACCAGAACAGGTGGCTCTGTCACCAGCTCCCTGAGTAACACAACCTTCACGGCCGCGGTCCATCTTCTTTCCTGGAGATAAAACCCAAACATGCCCACATTCCCTGCCCTGGCTTCTGGTGCTGGCTGGGCACATGGGCCTCGCACACAGCCCTGGGCTCTCCCCACCAGCACCACCTTGCCCCCACCTGTCACAGGCCCAGCCTGCCCCCGTGCCGGCAGGTGGTTTCCAGGGCAACTGCTCCGCCTGCCCCAATATCTCAAGCTTCCCAGAACAAAATCACTTCCCTGCTGTCCATCAACAGGAATGCCAGAGCCACTGGCACAAGCCGTGGCCCCCTCTCAGCTACCTCAAACCCACACTGACCGCAAGGAGGCAGCTGTCTACCTCACCTGACTGCCTTTGGGGAACGTCACATCACCCGCCTCTGGGATGCTGTTGCTATGGAACTCCCTGGATCTGTGCAGGACAAAGCAGCTCCAGGGGTTCCTGTGCTCGGAGGGCTGCAGGAGGCCTGCAGCCAGTAACATGGCCGAGGAGCCTGAACCTGTACCATGCCAGTGTGACTTTCATTGGCGCTCTCACTGAGCAGTGCTCCATGCGGCTATGTTGGTGTTCAAGGCCCACCTGGGCTACAAAGTGAGCTCAAGGCCAGCCTAAAATGCACAGTTAATACCCTGTCTAAAAAAAAAAAAAAAAAAAAAAAACATAGGCCAGGGATTTAGCTCAGCGGCATAAGCGCCTGTCTGGTAAGCGCTAGGTCATGAGTTTAATCCCCAGTACAAAAAAAAAAACAAGTAACATAAAGGAGGAGTGCTGACCATGAGCAGGGGACCCACGAGCACTGCTCCTGCAGGGGGAGGCCTGAACCTGACCCCATGGGTGACCACAGACAAGAACAGCACCCAGTGCCTTTAAACGCCTTCAAGGACCTGACACTGCCGTTTCTGCCACAGTCAGCCTTCTGAGTTAAACCGCAGCACAGGAAGCCTTGAGGGTGCGCTTCATGAAGAACAGCTTCTTTTTGGGTGCCTGGGCCTCACCACGAAGGCACGGGGGCAGGGATGCTGAGCCTGCAGATGCTGCTGCTTTCGTTTACACAGGCACGTGGGCATCCTGGATTTTGGAACCAAGCCCCTCCAGACACCAAGTCTCGCCAGCTTCTTTCAACACCGTGAGGAAGAGACACCTCTTGGGTGTCGCAGAGATTGCACTGGGTCTTCCAAACATGAACTCCGACTCAGAGTGAAGACCCATAACATTCACCACAAACCAGTCATCTTAAGAGTTTGCCACACCCACCCTAAAACTATTGTTTTGCCTTTCCAATAACCACAAGGGGGATTTCACTTTTCAAGCAGTAGTTCCAAGGCTCATACAGAATTAAAGCTTAAAACTGTCGGAGCACACATCTTCATTGAATAATAACTTCTGCATGTTCCATTTGCAACTGAAATTACTACTTTTAAATGTTCTATAGCCTACCCACAACCTCCTGGATTCCATACCGCTAGTAAGCTTAAACACAGAAGAAAATCTTATCTTTACTGGATGTATTTTATAAACCACCACTTCTCAACCCACACTTGATGAGACAGAACCTGTAAGAGGAAAGCCTTATTTTCACACCAATGCCCATCACAAGGCCCAACAGTGCGGGCAGAGGGTGAGGAAAGAGCCGCAGAAGAACCTGCAAGAGTTCCTGGACATTTCTAGCAAGGCCAGCACAATGAGCAGACACAGCCACGGAGTCCATCAAGTGGGCAGGACGTGATGGAAGTCGTCATCAAAGACCTCCCCATGCTCAGCCACACCCTCTCTGCAAGACTCAGCGGTGGCCCAGACAGCAAGTCACTCCTTCCGTGCCTGCCTGCGGATCCCCTGATTTACACTCACGGCTCCCAAAGTGTTACTTCCCTTTTCTTTCAGGTTGGTCATTTATGATTGTGACTGGATCTGACATCACATCCCGCTGAAAGAGGGGCATCTCCACCACAGTGTTCTAGTCTGAACCCCCAACTCCATTAGCCCGAGACTCACAAGCGCCCGCTGTACTGTGTTCTGTGCAGTGTGCAGTGACAGGCACTCCGAGGAGCAGGGCCACGCTGCATTAGTAGACGCTGTTCTCAGCTCCAGCTGCAGAGGAGGGACAATGAAGAGTGACCTGCGGAAGGCCACACAGCCCGAGACGATGTTTTATCAGAGTGAAAGGGCCCAGGAGGGGTGGCGCACACCTGTAATCCCAGCACACTACAGGCTGAGGCAGAAGTCTGCCCAGAGCTCAAGGCCAGCCTCAACTAACAGCAATACTTTGTCTCAAAAAAAGAGAGAGAAAACTAGAATCAAAGGGGACCTATCTGAGCTATTCATAGTTTTTGCAAGAGAAGTTGCATAAACATTATAGTTTCTGTAATCCTGTACCGAAAGAGGTGCATTAAAACATCAAAAATGAAATCTGTTAAAATATTATTCTTAGCCTCTATAACACGATTCTGTCTCTCAAAACATTTTTTAAAAAAAATAGCCAGGATATAGCTCAGCATAAGCACCTGCCTGGCAAGCACAAGGTCTTAAGTTTGGTCCCCACTACAAAAAATAAATAAAAATAAAATTTATTAAGAAATTAAATAAATAAACGGTGACACCACATGCACATTTTGCAATCACACGGCAGCTCTCTTTCCCAGGAGGAGGTGAAGACAGAGGGATGGAAGGCTTGAGAGTCGGCAGTCCTAGGCGAGGGCGTGAACAGGGTGCATCCCGTCCAGCACACCAACAGCTCCCCTGCAGGAACGCTGGACTAGACAGAGGCTGGGCCAGGAAGGAAACCTCCCAGGTAAAGTTCATGCACCTGCTTGTCTGTCTAATTTACAAGTAACTTCCTAGTCACTAACAGTCTGCGCAGAATACCCGAGAAAAGACTGCTCTGATTCTCCCTAGGAAAACATCACTGCTGGTTTATGTGGCACCATCATTTACCTACACAGCAAAGGCTCTGTGCTTTACTCCCAGATGCAACTACAGCACCTCTCCTCCACTACCATTCTGCACAGTGGTGCAAGGTTCGATTTCCCACTGGAAAAGAACTTTATTCATATAAAAAATACAGTTTAAAATTTCTAGTTCCAAAGATCACTCCTATAAACAGAAAACTTTATTTCCTAGTTCATTGCTTGAGCTCTTTTCAAGGACACTGCCCTTGCTGACAGTTTCTGTATCATTTATTATTTGTTTGGTTTTGGTTTTTAAATTTCAGACAAGGACTTGCTGGCCTTGAACTCACTATATAGCCCAGGCTGGCCTTGAACTTGCAGCAATACTGCTGCCTCAGCATTCCTAGAGCTGGAATTAGAGGTGTCCCCCCCATCTTAAAAACACTGCAAAATTGAAATTGAACATGAATTAGTTCACAATCAAATGACATGTAATTTCACAAACCAAAGATGAAAAAGATGCATCCTGCAGATAACTCAGAATATGTGCAAGAACAAAGATCTACTGAGTCAAAATTGTTACCTCTTAAGCGAAATCAAGCTGAAAAGGAAGCCTGTCTGCTTTGGACAGGTGGCTTGCAAAGAGCCTCCCTGAAAAGGGGCAATTCAGCATCCCTGCCTTTCCCCTTGCCAATGGAACTATGTTACGAGTTGAAATAATCACAGAGTCAGGTTTCTAAAGCCCAAGACTCCTTAGGTTTAAAAACTAATAAAAATAAGACTCCCAAGACTTACACACCAAAAAGTAAAAAATCAGTATTTCCTGCTCGTTTTCAAAGGCAAAATTATACTAACGCCGTAGTCCTTGGCGTTTAGTTAAGAGCCCCTCTACGGTTTCTTCTGTCCAGCCACTGGAAGGTCCACCAGCAGGAAAAAGACCCCCGAGTCTCACACACAACCCTGGGGTCAGTCTTCAGCACAATTCGAGACTCACTGACTGCCACAGAATGTGACAACGTGAGCACGTCCAGCTCCCCGTCACTCTTACCATCCCCAACTAGACACCAAATGGAAGTGTTTTACCCAAGCTCACAGGTTTCGAAAGCACAGTCCACCATCATTAAACCACGAAACTCACCAAAAATGTCAAATCAAAGAAAAAAAACACACCCTCCTCTCCAGATGTGATTGTGGTAGAAGATGGTACAAGTTATGCCAGAATCAGGCAAGTCATTGTACCCCGAGGGCTGGTGCCACGGTCCTGACAGATTCCTGTCTGTACTCAGAATAGCATTTTCTACCCTCAGAGACCTGTGAGCACAAAACAGGAAAGGTAACTGAGTCCATGTCAGTAAAAACTATTTTGAAACATGATGTGACATCTATCTGTAAAAGATCAAAACAAAACTTTGCAAATAATCTCCTGCCAAGTGCAGAATGAGCCCATATGCCCTGTGTGGACTTCAGGACTGCTTAGGAAAGCAGCAGCTAAATTCAGGGAGCTGTCAAGTACAATCTCATCACTCTCCCTCTCTTCCCCAACATAACTGCTCTGGCAGTGCACGCAGTTACACACTCTGCCTAACTCCCTGTAAGGTGTGAAGAGCGTCTTCCCTGGGCTGTAACCATGGCCCCCTGGCTGGTCTCCCTAGTTCACTTCGGCCACCTCCAATGTCCTCCACAAAACTATCTTCTCAGGGCCTCCTCCAGACTCACCCTGCAGCCTAGGATCTTCACTAGCTTCTCTCTGCCTTTAGGGCACAAACCAGCTGGCCCAACTGCCTCTCTCCCAGCTCCACACACCTCTTTCAGCCACCCTAACCCTTTCCTCCCCGTACCCCAGAGTCTTGACATACATGCTTCCTCAGCCTGGAGTGTTCTTTCCCCCCTACCTCTGCACCATCCCCATCTTCAAATCTCAGGTCCTCTATCCTCAGCGACACCTTTTACAACCTTCCACCGAAGTCACATTCCTGGTAAACTCTCTCACACTGCCCCGCTATTCCTTCAAAGCACCTTATCGTATCTGCATGATCATTAAAATCTATATCCTTCATCTGCCACTCAGCTCTGAGGACAGAGATCCTAGCTTTTCCCCAGGGCACACAGCACGCACTTCATATGCAGAGTGAAGAAAGTGAATAAACGTTATTCAAAAGCCCCCTTTATTTGATGCTGACTTTATTTGCTACCTGGTTCCCCCAGAAACATTTTCCTCTCATCTTCAAATCCTGTGGTTTCCCCAGTCTACAAAATTCTCCCTTCAACAGGGCCAAATCCCTGATGCCAAGACAAGTTTTCTTTCCTCCAGGTATTTTCCCACGGTGGCAGTGCATCGTCTCTGCTCCACACTTTTAAAGCACTTTGCATTCTTTCTCATAATTATATACAGCCTGACAGTACTTTACAGTGTAGCGTTGTGCCTTTTCTTCCCAACATCAGTGCGAACTCCTCAGGTTGGACTATTTACAGCCCCACCCCCACCCCAAGAAGCGCTAAGCACTGAGTGCTCCCCAAGACACCGGATTTTCCCTAAGAGACCAGATTTTTCCTCTGCAAAGCGTATTAGCTTCCTTCTTGCTCCTCTGCCTCTCAGGTGATTCAACTGGCCTTATGAGCAAGTTCCCTTTCGGCAGCTCCGATCTGCCCTCCCCCATTCTAATACACCCGTTCGCATTCCTGGATCCCTCTGCTTCCTTACCTGGAAGGACCCCGACGCCACGGGAAGGACCCCGCCGCAGCGAGGGGTCGCAGCCCTTTAACCCGCCGTCCTGGCTCACGCCGCGCTCCTCCCCGGGAAGGGGCCTGCGCTGGCTGTGACCTCACACAGCCGCGCGCTCCTCGGCTGCCGCGACCCCCACCCACGGAGGAGACCAGGCTGCCGCGCAGTTTCCTCCCGCCTTGGCCACGGGGCACTAACCTGGGCCCTCTGTCCCCCAGCGTCCTTCCCCTGCCCTGGAGCCGGGTCCCGGCCCAAGGTCGCGCTGCAGCGGCCTAGACCAAACACGGCGTCGGCAGCCCGCGGCGGGCCTGGCCCGCGCCCTCCCGTCCTCCCGCGTCGCCCAGCACACGCCCGCCACCCGCCACCCACCGCTCACGGACCCAGCAGGAGTCAGACGACAAACACAGACGGCCCGACTGACGTTAACGGTTCAGCGCTCCATCGCTCCCGGCCTAGGCTCCGGCCTCACAGATTGCTAGACCCCGGCGCCCACGGAAGAAGTCACGTGTAGGCCGGAGCAGTCAGCTGACCGCTCGCGCCGCTGCGCAGGCGCAGCACCGCCAAGCCGCGAGGGGCGGGGCTGGAGGGCCGGGGAGCCAGGCGGGGTCGGGGCGGGGGCGGGGACAGGGAAGGGATAGGGCGAGGCGAGGAGGCCCAGTGAGAGCCGGCGGTTCCTAGTGGGCGGAGGGTAGTGGGCGGGGCCCCGAGCTTCCGGGGTAGGCGGGCGGGGTGAACCCGGCGCTTCCGGGTGAGAGAGGCTAGCCGCCCCTCCAATGCTGAACTTTCTGGGCTTTATTTCTGCGGGTTGGAGTTGGTTTGCTAACCCTGCGCTGGCTTGTCCGCTCTGGGTTTCCTAATAGCCATAATTTCTTGCGGGCCAGCCCCATCTGATCTCGTGAGTGTCCATGGATACTGACTGTGCACCAAGCGCACGGTGCCAGTTCTTTTTAGCTAGCGGCGGAGCTGGGTGTGCGCGGTGTGGAAACCGCTCACTGCGTTGGGCGCTGACTGCGCTTACTAGGCGCTCACTGCGCTGTCTTTTCCAGGGAAATTTTGTTAGCGTGGGAAGATGGGCAGTATTGGGCTGACCGAGAACACAAAAATTCGGAAATAGTGGGGGATTTTGAAGTTTCCTGAGTACTTGGAAATCCACAGCGGAGGAAGGTGACGAATTGAGGGCAGAGAGCACCGAGACGGGCCACCTGGGGCTCCTCTTTTCCAGAGCTGATTAGCTTCCTCGCCTACAGGATGGGGTGACACAGTTACCCTGAGCATAGAAGGAGCATGCGTGGGCACAGGGCTGGCACACAGAAGGCACCCAGGAAATGGTCGGTGTTGCTGGACCCAGGCTTCCTGATCTGTCCCTTGCATTTCTTGTCTTGTGTCCCTGCAAAAATAATTCACCCAGAATTTCATAGGGTCTTGACATTACAGTGTACAGAAAATACAAAGCAACCAAGCTACCCAGTTGATAAATTTAAGATAATTCCCATAACCCGTTTTATAATACAGATCTGGACACTTGTCAAAAATTCCAGGGATTTGTGGCCAGGCATGGTGGTGCATACCTTTAATCCCAGTGCTCAGGAGGCTGAGGAAGGAGTCTTTCTGGGAGTCGGAGCCCAGCATAGGCTACACAGTGAGTTCAAGGCTAAGCCAGTCTGAACTACATAGTGAGACCCTGTCTCAGAAAAAAAAAAAACACCTCTAGAGACTCCGGATTCCCAAAATGAGTCTGAAGGCATTTTTTGTAAAGTGTATGTTCGGGCTAGGTATATAGATCAGTGCCACAAGTACCTGCCTGGCAGGCGCAAGGTCCTGAGTGATCACTGGTGCCCCCCTCCCAAAATTGTATGTCAATAAAGCTCTCATTGTGGAAGGAAATGCTAGTATGTATCTGTGCTGCCTGAATGGTATCTACTAATGAACACTTGAAATACGGCTTGGGACCTGAATTTTAAAATTTATTTCACTTTTAATTAAAATTTAATGCCTGTAATTCCAGCTCTTGGGAGACTGAGGGAAGAGGCGCACCATGAGTTTGAGGCTACCTAGTGAGTTCAAGCCTAGCTTTGAATGTATAGCTAGACCCTGTCAATCAATCAGTAGACAAACTATTTTCTTAAGACATTATCCACCGAAGCTGAGTATTTAGCTCAGCGGCATAAACGCCTGCTTTGCAAGCAGGCAGTCGTGAGTTTGATCCCCGGTACCGATAAAAAGGAAAAAGACATCCTCCACCACCACCTGTCTAGTGGGTCATCCACGAGTGTCTCTTCACAGAATTGATGAACTTGGCTTCTGTGCTGGGAGAAAAACCAACTTTTTCTATGCCTGATTGCATGTTTGCTTTGTCTTCTATGGAACTAGGTCCCTTTGATGTTTCAGTAATTTATTGACTTTGTGATCTTGCTGTTGCTAGTTTGGAGTGATTTTCCTTCTGGCTTGATTCTGTGCATTGCTCGCTGGAATATCTATCTCAGGGACATCTTTACTCAAGATTTTCTTCAGGTTCCTCCTCAGCAAAATCATCTTTTTCTTCCTCATCTCCATCTGCTGCAGTTTACTTTCTTATTGAAAATTCTGTTTCCAAGGCTGGATCCATCCCCAGACATGCTTGAGTTCCCCACCGTCCTCCTCTTTATCTTTTGACACCATTTCTTCCTGAACAGCTAAGTGTGGCCCATTCACGTGCCTGGGCCCTCAACACCCCACCAGAAGGACAAGCCAGGGATGCTACAGAGCATCACATGATGCATGAAACAGTCCCGAAATACAACTATCTAACGTGCCAATAGTGCCGAGATCAAGGGCTCTGGTACCAGACCAGGAAGCTACATTCCCATGTTTTTGTTTTGTTTTGTTTTTTTATTTTGAGACAGAATCTCACCAAGTTGCCCATCTTGGTCTTGAATTTGCAATCCCCCTGCTCCAGCCTTCTAAATAGTTAGGATTAGCGACATGCACCATCATGCCAGCTAGTTTCCCCAGTTTTTTATTACCAAGGTGGTATATAATATCCTCAGGCTTTTAATCTGTAAAATCAAAGCAATACTATCTTTGTCTATTGTTATGAATATACAGTTGTGCCTGGGTACCACTGTAAAATGGAGTCCTGTAAGAGGTGTCCATCCCTTGACCACTTTGGGATGTCACTAGGCTCATTCACAAACTAAGGGACTGCTGCTATCTGCCAGCCTGAGAGTGAATCCCTGGCTCATAATAATCACAACTTTTTTATGTATGGTGGCTGATCCTGGAAAACACAAATATTTTAATAAGTATATGAAAACTATTTAAAGAAAAATGCTTTTTATTCACATGTATTAATTGTACATATTAATGTGGTTCAGTATCCCACCTGTGGATTTTAGAGATTTTAAAAAAAAATCTCCAAGGCTCAGAGAATTTGAGCAATGTTCCAAAGGTTAAGATGTGGTGGCCACCCAAAGAAATCTGGAAATCAGTTAACTAGTGTAGTTAAACTATTCTATGCAATAAAGTGAAATTATGGTAAGAGTTACTTACATTTTGAATTTGGGAACTATTTTAAGCTGAAACTTTAGAGAAAACAGCAATCTTACAGAATAAGAGCTGTATGTGTGTGTGAGACAGAGGCAGAGACATAAAAAATAAGAAGGTCACACTGTGTGGCCGGGCTGGCCCAGAACTCTGCGATCCTCCTACCTGTGGCTCCAAGTGTGCGGCAGGCACCACCATGCCCAGCTCAGAATGACACCTTTTTTAAACACGTGTTTCACTTACTCCTGTTGCTGTAGCTAATATCTACGAGTTGCTTAGTAATAATCAGAAAGTACAGGCTAACAGAAAATAAGCACTGGCATCATGCCCCACGTGGCAGTGTCCTGAGGGAACCTCTCTGTCCACAGACTGCACCTGTGCCCCTGTGCTGGGCTGGGCCGTAGGGACGGGCAGATGTACAGTGCCACCCCCAATGCTACAGATGGGGTCCGGGCCCTTGGCAGCCAGTGAGACTCCACAGCTGAGCTACACCCTGGCCCCAGGTGTGAACTAAACCCAGGCTGCCTGGCTGCGGGGTCCACCACTCTCTCTTCTGCATACAGCACTCCCCTCCCATGAACCCCTTCCCTGTGCCACCTTTTCCCTGCCTTACAGAGGCCTGGCTGCTGTGGTCCAGGGCCAGCACTCCGCAGGTGAGAGTTGCATGGTTTGCGCAACCACAACAAAGACTGGGGTTGGCTGCTTCCCTGCAGAGGGTGGGAGGAGGGGTCCCCCAGCAGTGCCTGCCTTCTGTGTCCTTTTGTTTTCTTGGTCCCTGAACTAGAAATGGTCATCTTTGTTCCTATCTTTGCAGAAATGCTATCAGATCTTCTTAGGACCAGCAAACGTTCATAGACAAAGGAAAATGACTTGCTTTAGAAGCTGTTCTGTTACCAGGGTTTTAGGGTGTTCTGTGGGTCTCTAGTCATTCCTGAGGTCCTGAACCAAGAACTGGTCAAGACGACACCGAAACGGCAGTGAGTCTTCACGTTTATTAAAGATAGGAAAGAAATGTGCTCTGCAGAGTGGTGAGGGCAGTCTCCAGCAGAAAAAGAGGTGCACAGTGGGAGGTGAGAGCCAAGCCCTATGAGAGACAGCACAGGGCAGGAGCCCAGGGGGAGCCATCTTTGACCTCCGACACCCCTCTAAGCCGACCTATCAAAACCTTGCTTGATCTTGTGCTGGGAGAACTGAAGACAGCACTCTCAGTTTGGTCCCAGTGCAGGTTTTGAGACATCTTTCTGTATGTGTGTCTGGATCTCTGTAATTGAAAGCTTAAGCTCATTTGTCCCATCTCAGTGCTGCTCTTCATTTCAGGGTGGTTTTTTAGTGCTTCTTTATTTGCTCGATTCAGCTTTAAATGACACAACAGATGGTGAACAACCACTGTTCTGTACTAAGAAATGGTTGCTTATGTGCTAGAGCTTTTCAGTTTTCTTCTCACACTAATAGTGTAAAAGTAATAGCACAGGCAGTTAGTATTCAATAGTTATATCAGTAAATTTAGAAAAAAATGATGTACTTAATAATTAAAAACAGCATCTCTGCCTCTGTTTTTTGTTTTGTTGGTTGGTTGTTTGGTTGTTTTCTTGAGACAGGTTCTCACCATGTGATCTCAAACTTGCCAACCTCTCTACTCAGGCTTTCTGCCATGGTTCAGTGTGTCACCAACAGTGTCAGAGACAGCTGGCACCTGCCGCCAGAGCAAAAGGCAAAAACACTTAAAAATAAGTATTTTAAGCCACGTGTGGTAGCGTACTCCTGCTATCTTAGCTCTCAGGAGGCTGAGGCAGGAGGATCACAAGTTCAAGTTTGAGGCCAGCCTGGGCTACACAGTGAGACCCTGTCACAAAAACACTTTTTAAAAAAAAAAAAGAATAATTTTAGATTTGTAGAAAAGTTGGGAAAATAGCAGAGAATTCTCACACACACTATACTCAGTTTCCACTATTAACGTTGTGCATCATTATAATTCATTTCTCTGGATAAACCATTCTCAGACATGGAAGCATAACTATT